AAGGGAGGCAACACACACACACACACACACACACACACACACACACACACACACACACACCAGTAACCTAGTTATCAGACCCAGAGGGAGACCGATGTGAAGCACTCATACCTTGACCCAGAGGGAGACCGATGTGAAGCACTCATACCTTGACCTGAGACAGCTCCTTCTGAGGCGCTGTGAGCTTCTTGCTGATCCTACCCTTGGCCTTCAGCTCCTCCACAGTCTTGTAAGAGTATTTCGGCTTCTTCTTGCTCCCACTGGGGTCTTTCCTCCACTGGCTCAGCTCCTTCTGAAACTCCTGAGGCAGAGGGATGGATGCAGAGAGTGAGAACAGGGGGAGCTTCGTCCACAGCAGCCAGGACCAAGGCCTTGCCTGGACCCCCAAACACCACCTCCCGGCACCCCTGCCAGCACAGGCGTGAGGTGCCAGGGCAGGTGCCCCGGGGGAAGGGCAAAGCTCTGCTGGTCCTCACTGACTCGTGCAGAACTCAGAAACAGCACAAGGATTAGAAAGCACTGGCCCCACCTGGCAGAGCCCCACAGGAAACGGTGAGCAGAGGGCAGCCTGAGCGGGAACACGCCCACCCTCTAGTCAGCGCCGTGACTGCCGTTTTATTTCTCACACGGCTTTAACCTGTCGTTCCTGTCAAGTGTCCAGAGTTGCAGCCGTGCAGGAATCACGGCCCCCAGTCTCCTGCAGGGCCGTCTCTGAGCTGAGCCCGCTCTGCAGTCGACCACCGCAGCGCAGCATGCCAGTGCCCACCCTGCCCACCTCCCACACACCCGAGCCTAGGGCCGCACTCTGCCACTGGCTGCACGCTGAGCCCCCAGCAGGGCCTGCCACACAAGCAGGTGTGTGGTGACACCCAAAGGCCCGTGAGTAACCGCTGTCTGAAATGGTCCAAGGCACGAGCCACCCACACGGCTGCCCTTCCCAGTACCTCTTCAGCCTCCTCCTCCGAGTCGGCCACGGGGAAGTCCTGCAGAGACTGAGTGGTCCGCTCTGAGCCGTAGGCCCCCACGGCCCCTTTGCCTTTTCTCTGCTTGGCTTCAATGGGGTTGATGATACCTGAGCAGGGGCAGGTGACAGACAGACACACTTTTCAGATCTTGGCAACCTATGTGAAGACACCACTAAGAACGCCTCCTGCTCCTCACCCCACAGCACACCACTGCTCAGGGCAGGACCCTGTGCTCAGGACAGTGCCATGCTCCGAGACTTGAGGAGTGACATCACTTCAGAACATGGAGCCTGTAGATGAGTGGGAAACAGACCAGTTCTGTCTGAGGACTCGGCCCTATGCACTGTCCACTGCCAGCCTTCAGGAGCCTACGGGATGAAGGACAGCTATGGACTGGTAAGGGGCTCACATTGCCTGCAATTAACGTTTGTAACACGGCTAAGCCCTGGAAATAAACACACAGCATTTTCATGGGGATTCCTGCTGCTCCCAGGTTTTCCTTCCATTCCCTCTCAGCACTGTTGGAACCTCACAGATGCTCTGCCATCCTCTTCCCAGCACATGCTCAGCACTACTGAGACGAACATGGGTGGCCCCGGGTGCGAATTACGCCGGACCCAGTCCCTGCTGGAAAAGACCAAGTTCTTGCTCCTCATGGCTCCGGGCCAAGGTGATGAGCTGTGTGTGCCTGGGGCTGTTTCTCAATGGGGATGGTGTGGGGAACATGGTTCTGGTCAGCCAGCAGCAGGCACACCCTCAGTTGGTGAAGGCCGCCATGCTGCACACTGACCTAGCTGGCGCCGAGTTGCTGACTGAGAAAGACTACAGAAGCAGGGAGGACAGAGCTGAGCCTCAGAGCCCAGCAGGCTCACGGAAACGGTCACTTGGCAGGCCACAGGGAGCGGAGGACGCAGCTTTAAGACCTCACACAGCTCCAGAGGCAGCTGCAAAGCGGCCCAACTCCTGCCGGGCAAAATCTGAGTTCTCAGTGAAACTGTCCGACTCTGGAATATTCGCAGTTATTGCAGCCACTTTAGACCCCAACACTTTCCTTCCCACTTAAGCAGCTACTTCATTCTGAGAAAGAAAGCCAGGCAGCTGGGGGCACAAGTGGCCACGCTGTCAAACCCAGCTGCCAACCACAGCTGCAGAATTAACAGCTGTTTTGTTTGGTTTTGAGTTTAAGCATCCTTCCCAGGGCCTGATGCACTGAGATCACGCCATACTTGACAGGCTCCCTAGAGGGAAGAGGCAGATGAGGTGAGGGCCCCCCCCCCATACACACACACCCATTCCTCCCGGGCCCCAGCCTCACCTTGTGCGTTCTTCCCCAGGCCCCGCCCGGGGACATAGCCCATCTTCTGCAGCAGCTTCTGCCCGATCCCCTTTGTGTGCCGCTCCCAGCTGCCAAAGTCCATGAAGGACTTGGTGCCTCCGGCAAAGCCTTTCTGGCTGGGCTTAAAATTGCCGCCCTGCGAAGAAGGCAAGATGAGCGAGGGTGAGAGAGAAACAGAATACGAGGGACTCGGGCCAACGGGAGAACAACCTGCAGCTACAGTACATTACGAAAAGCTGTCTGTGAGCCAACACCACGTCGGGACACAGGCAGGAAAGAGGCTCAGGACCCACGGGGGCAGCACAGCACACACACGGGTGCCCGCCGGGCTTCTCCCTGAGGAAGCCTCTGCACTGGTGACCCCTGATGGGTGCCACCTGGAGACTACCCTGAAAGACCTACCGTCTTTAACTTCTTTGGTCCCAAATCTTTCGGAAACTCCTCCTGCTTTGTGGGCTTCTCATCATCATCAGAGTCCTCAGAGTCCACTTCCTCAGCCGCCCCTTTCTTGAGCCCTGCGCTGATGAAGTTGACGGGTGCAGAATAGTCTCGAGCCCTGCAGACAGACACAAATCCCCCAAGTCTATAAAGAACACCTCTGCAGCATGCTGTCCTAGGAACTGCTCAGAAGAGAACTCCTTAGAGAGAGGGCCTTCATGGGATCCACTTTAAAGCATAGTATGTTTACTTATGTCCACACACCAAAAGGGACTCAAAACTGGCCTCCAGCAATCTCACGTTTAACATTTTAAAAAACAGTATCTCTGTGTGTGGTTACACACATGACTGTGTGAGTGTCCAAGGAGCCAAAAGCATAGATCCCCTGAAGCTGGCAGTTGTGAGCTGATGGGCTGGGGACAAACTCAGGTCTGCAAGAGCAGGATTCGATCTTAACTGCTGAGTCATCTTCCAGCCCACATTTAACATTTATGGGGTCTGTTCAATTTGAATCTGTAGCTGAGGATTTGTCATTATCAATAGTTGATTATGAATTCAAAATAAGATGTAATAATGTTACTCCCCTTTGACACTTTTAACATGGTATTACCGTTGTGTTTATGATGGGGCCTATGGGCCTGGACAAGCATGTGACCTGTCAGGACAGCTGTGTGGAGTGGTTCTTCCTCTTCACCTTTCATGCAGGATCTGGTGACTGAACTCAGCCAGCCAGGCTCCTGGGGAGTGACAAGCACCTTGTCGTGCTGAGCCACCCCACTGGGCCTCCCTTCACATCCGAAAAGACTGCTTTTAGCTTGAGAGTGGTGAAGGACTTACCTAGCATGCATGTGGCCCCGGGTCCAATTCCCAGCAACACACACCCAGCATTTGTTTTAGATAACATTTCAAGTGTGAAAATCAAACAGATAGATAAAAATCCAAGCTGGGTGGTGGTAGCGCACGCCTTTGATCCCTGCACTCTCTGAGTTCGAGACCAGCCTGATCTACAGAGGGAGTTCCAGTACTGCAAGAGCCATACAAAGAATCCCTTTCTTGGTGGGGTGGGGTGGGGTAGGAGTGGGGATAGGGATGGGGATCCTAAGTATAATTAAAAAATTCTGAGGGTCATCAAGTGTAGGGACACATGCTTTTTTGGTTGTTTTTTCTTTGATTGTGAGACAGTGTCTTACTATGTAGCCTAGGCTGTACCACCACGGTGTCTTACTATGTAGCCCAGGCTGTACCACCACAGTGTCTTACTATGTAGCCCAGGCTGTACCACCACACTTGCCCTGTGGACCTGTCACTTTCTACCTTTGTTTCAGCCGACAGTCTTTTCCAGAGTGAGCTTCCCTAACCCCCCTATCCTTCAGGACCTGTGAGGATGTTCCTGACCAGGGCACGCTTCCAAAGCTGCCGTGCCTGTGGTGACTAGCACGCCTCTCTCCATAAGGAACGGCACTCTCACCACACCCATTATTCCTGAGGAGGAACCTGCCACCCCCGCTCAACTACACACAGCAAGACGCTGGAGCTACAGGACTCAATAAGGCCAGGAGAAGAGCCTTCTGGGGGTGCCTCCCCGACCCTCTAGAGCCAGGGCATGCAGCCCAGCAGACAGTACCGTTTGCCTCCAAAGCTGGGCCTCTCCTCGTCCGAGTCGCGCTCAGCCCACACCCCATAGGTGGCCTCCTCCTTGGTCTGCCAGTGGCGCTGCCTGTTGGGGTTGAACTCATTCTGGAGATCCCAGTCTGTGATCTCAAAGTTCTCACGCTCGTCATCGTCATCATCCAGGTGTCCTTCGCCGTCCCGATACAAGTGGGACAGCGACATAGCTGGTCACTAGAGGAAGGGGGACAAGAAGAGCACTGTGAAAACCTAGGGCCAGCCGAAGAGTCCCCGGGAATCTCTGTTCCTGTTTCCTCCAAAGGAAATCCCATTAGCCCCATGCTGCTACTCAATAAAGTAGCCATTAAACACAGGACAAAGTGACCAGCCCTGCAACAAGTGAGAGAAGTCAGTCCCAGCAGCCCACTCAGGCCTAACAACCCACACTGCCATGGCCTTGTCTGAGTCAAACATCACACACGAGTGCCACAGGAAAGAAGTAACAGCTCTGTTATTACCTTAGAAACCAAGCCTTCTCAGTTTTCCAGGGAAGAGTTATATCTAGCCGATTTGGAGTCCCAGGGAAACTTCTGAACGTCTTCTGAAATGCTGTTTCATGAGACTGAATGACAGTGTAACACTCAGGTTTTCTCTCCCAAACCCGAGCAGCGTCTGAGGTACAAGTGACACTTCACAGTCGCACCTATAGAGTGTGGGATAAACAAACTGTTCTACCCAGGAATCTCATCAGCCATCTCTCTAACTGCATCGGTGGCTACAGTCAGTTTCAGAAGGACCTTGTAAGAACTGATAAAGGTGGCCCTTTAGAAAAGACAACACCATTCCCCCACCAACCCACCAGGGTCTATCTCTGTAAATTCAAAGTCAGCTTGGTCTACATAGTGAGTCCCACGTCAGCCAGGGATACACTGTGAGACCTGGTCTCAAAACAAACAAAATAACAACAAAAACTGAACTCCCAGTAGGTGCTTAAAAAACATCGTCCTCACCTGGTGACGATGGCACACGCCTTTAATCCCAGCACTTGGGAGGCAGAGCCAGACGCATCTCTGTGAGTTCGAGGCCAGCCTGGTCTATAGAGCAAAATCCAGAACAGGCACCAAAACTACACAGAGAAACCCTGTCTCGAGAAACTAAAAGAAAAAAAACAAAAAACAAAAAAACCAAGCATCCTCACCAGGCCTAATGGCACACCCCTTTAACCCCAGCATTCAGGAAGCAGAGAAAAGCAGATCTCTGTGAGTTCAAGGCCAGCCTGGTCTACTGAGCGAGTTCCAGGACAGCCAAGGGTACGTAAGAGAAACCCTGTCTCCAAAAACCGGAAGGAACGAACGGATGGATGGATGGATAAAATCAGTAACACTTAAACCACAGCCCACCTCTACCAGCGCCTCTGTGCGTGGTTATCACACGCGTGGATACAACATACAAAACCCCTAGCGCGGTACGTTGCACACTAACTTCCTCAGTACGTGAGGCCACCGTGTTCAGCTGCACCACTGCCCGACAGCGGTCCTCCGTACAGAGAGATCTGGACCTCCTCTGGCCCGGTGGAACTGCTTAGAAGTTACAAAGGTCTCCCTGCTCCCCTCACTAAGCACCGGTTAACAGCAACAAGTTCCAACCTCAGCTACGAGTGCACACTGAGTGCAAAGTCCTCAAAGCAGGCAGGGAGCCCCGGACCCACCGGAGTACAATACAGACGCCCCCGCCCCCAGCACAGAGATGGCAAGAAGCCCACAGCGGTCAGCAGACGCTCACAACTCGAGCGCGACCAGGACTGAGTATTTAGTGTGGGCATCGGGTCCCGGCGCTTCGTCTGATCCCGGTCCCGCAGCGGGCAGAGCTGGAGACCGGGGCGCAGGGAGGCCGTGGGGCCTTCGCCGCAGGGGATCAGCCCCGCGCTCCCGGGACGCCGCCCGCGGCCCCGCCGCCCGCTCACCTCGCGGGTTCAGCGATCGCGGTCCACACAGCCGTCGCCCAGCGTCCGAGAGCCTGCGAGGAGCCCGCCAGCAGGAACCCGGATGTGGCCCTGCCGGCGCGCCGGAATGACGTCTCCCAGCGGCGGAAATGGCGCGCTGTTGCCCCGGCAGCGACTTAACGCTAGAGGGGAGCGGAGGGGCGGGTCTGCGTGCCGGAAGAACTAGTGATCCCGCCCCGCTGCTTCCGGTTCCCACCGGGACTGAGGCCGTGGAGCCATCTGGGCCGAGGGTTCGCGGTCGTCGGGTGCTGGAGTCGTCAGGCCGTCGGGTGAAGCCGCCCGCGATGAGAACCGCCGGTCCAGGCCGTCTGGACCAGTGTCCCGGGGACCTGAGCGCGTGTCCCCTGCACTCCGTGCGGAGACACGGAGAGGCGGTGGCCTAAGCCCGAGCACAGCCTGAGCACCCCGGGATCCCTCGGCGTGCGCGCCTCCCGGCTTCGTGTCGGCTTTTCCTGTAAAGCTGTGGACAGGAAGGGCAAGGGGACCCGAAAACTTATCTCCAGGCAGTTCCGGCCAGGCTGTAAACAAAGCCGCGGTCCTTTGCCAGTCCCCGTGCCTGTTTTCTTCCGAAATATAATGACACTAAGACAACTGATTTATGGACCGGAGTGCCTCGTTCCTGGCTCTTTTAGGACAAGCCAGCGTGGACCCGGAAACGGTTTAAGGAATGAATGGGCGGAAGGAGCGCCCAAGCATTCTCCCTAGGAAACGGGTTTATTCTTTTCCTCTCTAGTTATTTCTCTGTTGCTGTGATAAACAACTAAGGAGAAGCGGTTTTTTGTTTTGTTTTGTTGGTTGGTTGGTTTGGTTTGGATTAGTTTTTTCTGAGACAGGGTTTCTCAGTGTAGCCCTGGCTGTCCTGGAACTCGCTTTGTAGCCCAGGCTGGCCTCGAACTCAGAGATCCACCTGCCTCTGCCTCTCGAGCGCTGGGATTAAAGGCCTGCGGCGCCACCACCGCCAGGCAAGAAGGAGCATATTTCATCTTGCACTTTTCCAGGTCATAGTCTGATGTCATCTCGGGTTAAAGAACAGGTTAGTTTTATCTCACAAAGAGTTAAAAGACCATATCCTGGTGGGTTTTTTGGTTGTTTTTTGTTTGGCTGGTTGGTTTTATTTTTGTTTTTCCCTGTCAGCTTGGCACACACAAGAGTTATCTTAGATGGCCTGTAGTCAAGTCTGTGGGGGTCGTTTACTTGATTTAATGATTGATGTGGGAGGGCCCAGCCCACTGTGGATGGGGCCACTGCTCTGGTTGTCCTTGGTGAGCATAGACAGCAAGCCAGTAAGCAGTGTTCCTCCATGGCTGCTATTAACGTTCCTGCTTTACATTTCTGTCTTGTTTTTACTGAGTGAACTGTAAAACAGATAAACCCTTTCCTCCCCAAGTTGCTTTTGGTCATGGTCTTTACAATACAACAATAAAACCTAACTAAACCACACAGGAAAGACATACTAGTGAAGCCCTTGGGGAGCCTGTCAGAGCCATCATGATATTGGTGAAATCAGGGCCCTTCTTGGAGATTCTAGTCACATTAATGAAAGAATTTAAGAACAGATATAAATGAAAGCTAGAGGGCGATCCTTCAAAGGGCAGGCAAGCTGTAACTCGCAGCTGCCCCCAGGAGAATGGAGAGGGGAGGGGAAGGCGTGATACCATTTGAGATAGCCAGTATGGAGGTCAGCCACATAGCAGGGAGGGGGTATTAGAGGATAAGTCTGGACGCCCAAAGTGCAAATTTAAAGAAAAAAACCCAGGGCAGGCAAGCTGGAAACCTAGAAACTACCTGGGGGAGGAGAATGGAGAAGGGGAAAGCCAGGTCATAAGATAAACTGGCATAGAGGTCAATCATGTGGCAGGGAGGGGGGCTTCGTGGAATGAGCAAGGAACCCCAGTGCATAGAAATTAAAAGTATACTTATGCTGGGGAAGAATATTCCTGCATGTGACAAGGTGAAAGTGACCCAGCCAGGTAGGCAAGCACACCCAAGCTACAAGTTTACTTCATTCCTGTTCTGAGGAAGGTGGTGTCTGTGTCTCGTCCCGTTGGTAG